TAATTAAAATGCGGCAATTTGCACACATTTGACAAAGAAAATAACTAAAGCATATCACCACAGAACTTCCCCAGTTAATGACTTACATCAAGAGTATTTTCCGCTGAGATGTGCTGTGTAAATATGCAGATTAGCTTGTTTTGGTTCATATAGAATAAATCTACAGATGTAAATAGGCCAAGGGTTTTAGGCTTAAAACCAACATCATCTAAATGTTTATTCTTGAAGTTTTATTTCCATTAGAGTAAAAGAAGACATGGAAGCAAAATAGACCAAAGTCTCAAAACTGACCACTCCATGAAAAAAGTGCCTTAAAGTTGATGGTCGGCTCCTCATCTGATAACTCTCTACTCTGTTAGTTTGTTGTATGCTGATAGATACTTATATAATGCAGACAGCCCTCCCTCAAATGTGAAACTAAGTCCATGTCACCATCAGTAAGTGTGTGTGTGTGTGTGTGTGTGTGTGTGCGCAAATGCACTGTAAAAAAATCTGCAATTTTAAAGTTTTAGTCCTTTTTATTTCACAGTTTTTTTCCTGTATTTTTGAAATACATGAAAATATCAAAAAATTGCTAAAAAAACTGTGGATTTACGTGTCTAATGTAAAATAACATGAGAAACCTGTAGTTGTGATTAACCATAACATTTCTGTTATTTTAATGAAAATATTGGTTTTTTTGACGTAAATTAACTGTTACAATACATTCAGGAATTTCCCATATTATTATTATTATTATTATTATTATTATTATTTAAAAGAAAAAACTGTTAAAAATACGTTTAATACTGTAAAAACATTACTTAAACTTGGTGCAATTAGTAATAGTTAACCGTAACAAAAAACATTTGTTCTGTAACCTGACATAGATTTTCTTGTTAATTGACAAATATATCCTTTAATTATGGATATTTGGAAAATAAAAACATTGAATAAATGTTATTTTAATCAGTATATAGTGTCTACAAGTATTGTTAAACTGTCGAAACACAGTTTTGATCATTGAAAACAGCCATAATTACTGTAATTTCACAGCTTTTGACTTTTATTATAATTCTTAAATTACAAGTTAGATTAACATAGTATATAATTGCCCCAAAGTGGTAAAATTACAGAAAGCCTTAAACCTTTTAATGGGGTTAAAAAAGAAAACTTCCTGTAAAATTTTGGGTTTGTGAAGAAAATTAATTTTGATGCCATTTTACAGATACTTGATTGAAGAATCTTAGCTATAGGTGTATTATCAAAACCTAAAGTAAACACATTTAAATCCTGTTTTTCATAATTAAAAATTACCACATGTTCACATTATTACATTTTACATATCCATTTATTCTATAATAGAGACCAGAAACCCATTTTGAGTAATGTTACAACCCTTGTACTAGGGTTATTTAGGACAGTTTCAGACTTCCTTAAATTTACTTAATTTAAGCAAACTCAGACATTTACATTTATTCATTTAGCTGACGCTTTTATCTAAAAGCGACTTACAATCGAGGTCGCACATGGATGGGTCACAGTGAGGGATTGAACCCGGGTCTCTCACACCAAAGGTGTGTGTCTTATCCATTACGTGATCACCAACCCACAGACCTTTTAAAGTACCACCACAATACAAATTCCCACATCTGATACTATTTATAGACCATTTATTCAGTTTCATGCTCACAACAAATAAGCCACACCTTATTGACGACATTTTCAGATCTATTCATTAGAAACCTAATTGGGTCAACATAAAGAATATTTTGGATACTGTTAGACACAGCTCCAAGATTAAAGTACAATCTGAATGTAAAGTAACTGGAAAGTATTTCTTAAAATGCTGGCATTCTGCTTTCATAGGAATGTACAGAGACATGAAAGGCAGAGAGGGGAAATGGTGGTTTTACATACAGTGAATTTAATGCACAATCCAAAGACTTCTTCCCTGGTTTCAATATGATATATTAGGACTTTCTAAAGCCAGTTTTTGTATCTAGTAAATGTTGTTACGGCTGTATGTGTTTCCATGTGCTGTGCATCCTTGTTCCTTTTCTGTCCTCTAGTTCTGTCCCAGGAGTGCTACAGCTGATTGCTGAATTAGGTCAACCTGGCCTTGCATGGCAGTGCACAACTGTGTGCATGGAAGTTGGGGAAGTCCAACATTTCTAAATTAAGTTGGTATACAAAAAGCCAAGAAGTTTTTCTTGGCAGTCCAAATGACTCCATTTGTTTGCAAGTTTTTGGTATGCAAGCCAAAAGTACATTTTCAGATTTGACTGACTTTGCACAACAACACCTTTGGATGACATATAGAAACCACTTGGGTTCTTAGCTAAATTGGAAAACATAAACAACGGCAAACAAAATCAACAGTATATCTATCCAAGGTCTGCAAGACATTACGTAAGTTTCCCCTAATAATTGGTATGGTGACCAAATTCTGGAAATGTGTTAGTCCATAGCCCTCTCCACAGAATTGGGGAAGAATTCAAGTCTGGTGGCTACATGGCTGCAAAAATGCAGATAACCACTTCCAAAGTATTGGGACACCCCTTCCGAATCATTGAATTCAGATGTTCCAATCACTTCCATGGCCACAGGTGTATAAAATCAAGCACCTAAACATGTGGACTGCTTCTACAAACATTTGTGAAAGAATGGGTCGCTATCAGGAGCTCAGTAAATTCAAGCTTGGTATCTGTGCAATAAGTCCATTTGTGAAATTTCCTTACTACTAAATATTCCAAGGTCAACTGTTAGTGGTATTATAACTAAGTGGAAGTGATTTGGAACAACAGAAACTCAGCCTTGAAGTGGTAGGCCACATAAAATCCCAGCGGGGTCAGCGCATCTGCAGAAGCTGCCAACTTTCTGCAGAGTCAAGAGCTACAGACCTCCAAACGTCGTGTGGCCTTCAGATTAGCTCTAGAACAGTGCGTAGAGAGCTTCATGGAATGGGTTTCCATGGCCGAACAGCTGCATCCAAGCTTTACATCACCAAGTGCAATGCAAAGCGTCGGATACATGGTGAAAAGTACGCCGCCACTAAACACTAGTGCGGTGGAGACGTGTTCTCTGGAGTGACGAATCACGCTTCTCTGTCTGGCAATCTGATGGATAAGTCTGGGTTTGGCGGTTGCCAAGAGAATGTGTAAAGTTTGGTGTGGGGGTGTTTTTCAGGGGTTGGGCGTGGCCCCTTAGTTCCAGTGAAAGGAACTGTTAATGCTTCAGCATACCAAAACATTTAGGACAATTTCATGCTCCCAGCTTTGTGGAAACAGTTTGGCAATGGTCCCTTCCTGTTCCAACATGACTGCGCACAAGTGCACAAAGCAAGGTCCAATACAGCTGATTACCAGTTTTAGAACACTATTTTGATGTTTTTATTAAAGGAAAATCTAATATGTTGTATCATTCTTTTTACAATATATTGATTACATTAACAAGATGTTTATGTGAAATTATATAATAAAACTCAATTAAAAACAGCACTCTACTATAAATTTTAAGCCTGATTTGTATTATAGCAGTGTTCAACTATATTTAAAGGTAATTTAATTGTTTTTACAGGTTTATGTTCTTAATTAAACAATAAAAGCCCCAAAAATTGCACAAGATTTTATGTAAAATTAAAGTTACAGACTTGTCATTATGGAATATTACCGTATTTTTATTTTACGGTATTTTTCTGGTTTCCCAGCTGCCGGAATATTTGCATTTTTTCACATTTATTTTTTAACAGTGTGCAGCCCAATGCCACAGTTTAGTGTGAAGAAGAAGAAGAAGTGTTATGTATTCCAATAACAACAAAAGAATTGAAAGGATTTATTGCCTTGTGAAAAATAAACAAATGATTAATTTTATATTTTTTATATATACAAGGTGTGGATGTAGGAGAGGCCCACGCTGTGGGTGGGCGTAGACTAAAATTCTCAGTGCTGCGCAGGCATGCGGAAAGGGTAAACCCAATAGCAATAGCCTTAGATGGCAAAGCCTATAGGAAATAGAACTGGGCGAATTACAACCAGACTGAAATCGCACCAAGAGTCCATGGACTCCATGAAGCACGACTTGACGCTGATTGGACAGCGATCTTCAGAGACAAACTGTCTGTCAAAAACAGTCAAAGCTAACTAACAGTGTGGGAGAAAGTGTGAGAAAAATACCCCGCCTTTCCCTGCTTGGCGGTGCATCACCTAATGAGCAACTCTCCCCTGGGTAAACGGTTACAGTGAAATTTAACTAACTGCAACGCACTGAATGTAAAACCAAGAGGAGAAACAAACCGTTAAATGAGTCACTGTTATTTTATCATTTTGATAATTATTTTCTGTTCATTTTAGGGAAACCCACCACTACACGTCCTCCTACGTCCACCTGTCTTTCTTCATCACCAGCTCCTCCTCCCCCTCTGTGATGCTGTGGTCTGTTCCACTGTCCTGTGTTCTGCTGGTTCTACTGGTTCTACTGGTTCTACTGTTAATATGGTGTGTTTGGGGGAAACATACAGGTTAGACACAGACTTCTGGATTTCACACTTTTTCAGAACAGTTTATTTAACATGTTAACACCCATGTAGTGCAGTTCAGTTAGTTGTGACTGCATGTTTTTCTATTTACATTCATGTCTGTTGAGCTGCATGTTAAAGTCAAAAGATTCACTAACAACAAATTTCAGAGCATTTTTACTCTTGAATGAAGATGTTTGATCCAAATGTTCCTCTGTTAAATAACATTTGCATGGTGCTCTCAGTACAGTGAGCAGATCTTCATTGAGACTTTTGCCTTCAGATTGTGTTTTTTTTTTTTTTGATCCAGTAGTGGAAGTTATTTGGATGTGTGTACCGTACACGTGTTAACATTTCAAGATGTATTTTACATTTATAAAGTCATGAGTAATAAGTTACACATTTCAACTACAATTCCAATCAGTTTTCTTCATTTAAATGTCCGTTGATTTCAGTTTAACATAAATTATATTGCTGTTCATGTTGTTTCATTCCAGCTGCTGAAGAAGAAGTTGTAGAAAATGACATCACAGAGGACATCACATACAGTGACATCAGAATATCACATCACCAACGGCAGCCAATCAGACGAGGCAGAGGTAGCTATTTTGTTGTGTGTGTGTGTCTGTGTCTGTGTGTGTGTGTGTTTGGTGTTTGTTTGCTTAAGCACTTAGTCCTTGGATCTACTTTTCAAGGTACTTTTTGTGTACATTTCCACCGGGGTATTATACTTTGTCACGCTGTCTGAAAGCATCAGTTATGTCGCACTGAGATGAGAACGCGTTGGAAAAATCTGCTCTGTGGCCCTCCTACCTGACTTGTGAGCCTTGTTTACAATTTACCATTGTTGCACAGTCTCACCTGTCACTGCAGTGCTCTCACTATAATCCTCTCTCTGTAATAAGCCTGAATGTAAACTTCTAGAAAAATCCAGTGCTGGTTTGATTGGACCTCTGTGCACTAACTCAGTCATCAAAAAGTCTGATTAGACTGATGCTGGCTCTACATCTCTGGCTGTACTCGTACTGGCTGAGGCTGCCAGTATTTCAGCTGGGTCTGTGTGACCTGCTAAAGCAGCCTGGTAACACCAAAAGATAAAAATACCAAGCGATTTCTTAAGTAATTTAGCGTGGTATTCCAATGCAGTTTTTGCATTTTACTGTCTCAGGTAAAATCAGAATGTGTGGGATATAAATAGCCATGAAAGTCCGGCACTAAGGTGGTGGAGGGGTGGTTAGGGGAATAGTAAGTTGGGCCCAGACCCGAGAGACCGGCGTTCGGTTCCCAAGTGAAACAAGAATTACACAACATTAGCTTTAGGCTTTTATTTACGTTACGTTATGTTACGTAAGTTAGCATTTTACATCGTTGCCAACGTTAGCTACATTAGTTACTACGTTACATTACGTTATATAAGTTACCATGCTACATCATTGCTAACTAGGTAGCTAACTAGCTAGCAAAGATGCTAGCATTGACATCCCCCCTCCGATGTACTGTATTGCTAACCCTAACCATCATTAATTAAATATGTGTCGACCGGTTAACCTCCTTTGTGTTGCTTGAACATCGTGAAATGACACACGAAAACCTTAAAATGTGTTGACATGGCACGCCAGAATGTCCTTAAAAGTGCCGCACTATTTATACACCATTCCATGATATCACGTTGGCTTATAGACGTCAGGACTGGGTCTGTGTTAGTACTGGATTTGGATCAACTGGGCTTGTACTGGCTTATGATCCAGCATCTGCTCTACTGACAAACTTCAGTATAGCCCCTGTAAATTATAAATATCAATTCTTGCATGATGATGTTAATGTTATCAGCTGCTTCAGCCCCATTCAAGCTGGCTCCCAGGTTTCCTTTAATGTTTTCAGAAATTTCAAGGAAAAAACTCTTTATAAAATGACTTGACTGAGTGTGTGATGTTTATTGTTTACTGAGAGATGTGCATATTGATCAGTATGCCCTGCTAGTCCACATTTTAATAGTCAATGTGAATCCACTGCTTTCCATTTTGCATTAGTCCAGAGTTGTAACTAAATCTTCACTGAGAGACAGATAATCACTGTCTTCTTTTAAAATGATGTGTGCCTATGAGGAGTGCCATCATATCCATGTGCTGTCTGGACTGGTCGCACTAATGTTGCTGCTTGAATGCAATAAAGTCCAGCTGCAGGCTGTAGCACCACTCAGCCGGACCCTTCTCCTCAAATGCCCGGTTTAATTTTGTGCACGCTTGTATAAACCCATGTTCACGTGCAACGTGGTTATCTTTTTCATGCTGCAGTTCATAAACATCATTGCCGTTTGCATTTATCAAAAGTAATAAATATTTGTATTTCACTCTAATATTGTTCAGTCACAATCTGGCAAGCAACCAAGACCAAAACAGACTGAGTTAGCTGTGTTAGCAGGACAGAGAGACTAGAGAGAGATTCACTGCAGCTGCACTGCTTTGAGAGGAGAGAACACAAGTTTACCTGACTGCTGTTCTCAAAACGTCACTCTCACTGAGTTATATTCTCTTCTTTCGCCCAGAAGGATAGACCCTCTTTGTCCTCTCATCAATGTTTTAAATACTTGCTTTCAACATTGACACCTCTACTTCAGTGATCAGCACCTCAATCTCGCACTCAGTGAAGTTTCTCTTTTTCATGTGTTTTGCAGCAGGATTGGCTGTTGTTATTTGGACCTTTCTGGTCATTTACACAGTAATTTACAGGAGGCTTGTGCATGTACGCTCAATTTTACATTGACTGAGATGTATAAAGGAAAGGGGTACAGGACCTGGCGTACGCCTGATTTTATACATGTGGATATTTCTGTGCATATGTACTTTTCAAATTTTGTGAGTACGCCATCTTTCAGTACAAAAGCTGTGCAGTCTTTTTTAGGTGAGGCATCAGGTCTGTTTATTGAGAGGAAAAACTAAACTGAAAACAAAACAAGCACCTAAACTGAGCAGCAGCAGCAGATCAGCACGCAGCACTCACGTCCTGCATCTGAGTGTCAGAGGAATGAGATATTAAACGTGCTTTATTACCTATTATCAATCAGCTGGTCCATTTGTTTTGAAGAGGAGGAGACCCACTGTGACCTTGTAGAAACCTCCTGAATAATGAAAACTTATAACAATAACTCTGCACCTAGTATTTAGCTTAACTCCATTAGCTATTAGTTAGTTATAGCTATTTCTGAGCTATAAATACAATGCGACATACAATCTCAGTCCGACATGTGCAAGACTTGAGTGCGATATCTGGGTTTTGATTGTGATTTATTCCAAATGTCACAATCGTGGTGTGGAGGCAGGTTGGAGGACCCAAACGCAGGACACAGGGCGGAGCAGGTATAGTTCAACAAAGGGTTTTAATATAACCAAAAGGGAGCACACTTACAGGTGAGTGGCTGAATAACAGAAATCCAAAATCATACATCAAATTCCAACCAGAATATAGAAACTTCTGTGGTAAACAGGAATAGTGACCCCGGTGGAAAGGGTTCCTGACAATGGCCCTTTCAAAAAGGAGGTGCTATCTGCAGCTATTTTGAACTTTGATTGATGTGTGCACGGGAGCTACAAACTGCCCTGCCACGTTGCAAGCCGTTGAAGATAGTAGCGCAGCAGTGCTGTTCATGGTCTGTCTACAAGGCCCTTTATACATATAAACTGAAACAAATTTGGAAATTAAATCACTTAACTTGAAATGGAAAGTAGTATTAATTTGGTTAAGTTGTTTTAACTTGAAAGTATGAGTTAGAATAACTCAAAGTATGAAGTTGAATTTATAAGTTGAACACAGGCAGTCTTCAGGCAATCATCTTGCATTTCCAAGTTAAATTAACTTGAAATGTCTTATATTAAATTAACTTAACTTAAAACTGTGTTGAAAGGGTGTAGAATTGTATGTTTGTTTGACAAGAGAAGGCAAGTTTCCTTGAATAAACAATGAAAATACATTGTTGTTTCTTCTCACAGTATTAAGGTCAAACAATAAATGATCATTAATTAAACAATTTACATAATGTAACTACATAAGTTGAAACAAAGCTTTTCTTAAAGGTTTTCTTAAATATTTTCTTTCATTTTTAAGGCAGCAATTGAACTTGAGTTTTTAAGTTGAACCACCTTGATCATTTTTACAGCGTATATAGTACACTTCCTGAATTCAGACGGTCTGAGAGGGATACTACTGCATCAGCAGACTAATCCCCCCAACAGAAAATATCTGTTTTCCTCATTGTGATTCGCTGTAACTTACACGGCTGCATTCAAGCCTGTCTTGAGTGAATTTAAAAAGATAGATTGCTTATTGTAAGATCAATAGATTTTTTACTTTTAATAATAAAGTACTTTTAAAACCAGTATTTTACAGGATGACCTTTGCTTAAGTATCATTTTGTGTGGTATCTGTACTTTTACTTAAGCAGCAAAATAGTGTATTTTTTTCCACCACTGCATTTAGGTCACAGAACATTGTTTTTGAAGGAGAGGATATTCATTAAAATTTTTATTTGATATATCATTTATATGGTGCATTGCCTTTGACGATACACTGCGATTACATTTGATTTGTTTTGTACATTTTTCCTGTACAGTATCGTAGTCATATTTAATTGCATGTAGTCCGTGAGGTCTGGCCTGCTGTTGAGGATAACGTGTGTTGCATGTGAGTCTGTCTGTTGTGAACCCTGTGGTGAATCTGTGAAATGACGTAAAGAGCTCTGTGCGTCGTCCAGTTTCCTGTGTGTGATAAAAAGATCTGTTTGTTTTAATGCAAATAATTATTACATTAAGTTATTATAAATAAAAGAGAAGACGGACTGTGCAGACCAAAGACACTTGAATGTGCATCTGAATCTTCCTCTCTGCACATCAAACCAAAACAGCAACTTCCACCTGTCGACTCCAGCAAACTGTGGTTTAACGCTGGTGTGGTTTCTCACTATAGAGTGATCTGTTTTAGCTGATGTGTTCGTCTGTTTTGTGCCTTGTGCTGAAATGTGTGAACTTGTTTTAACAGCACAGGCAGCTTTGTGGTCATCCAGTTCCCTGTTTCAGATAAATATACTCTAGTTATATTTGGTCTTTCATGTTTCACAGCCGTGGAGTTTAGAAGAAGAAAACGGTCAAACCTGCTGCCGTTTATAAAGTCTATTATAATTCTACCTGAAAGATAATGAAATTGTTTTGTTGTTTAAGGGCACCTACTATACTTTTCTCTATTTTCTGTCTGATCCACAATGTTACAATGTCAGATGCTCATGATAAACACGGCCAAAGCTTCAAGTCATGAGGTAAAAATATTTAAAAGAAATCCCTCTGAATCCCCCCTGCTCTAAACTGTTGTTTCTACTAATGGCTCTGTATGACATCATCATCATAATAATATTAAAAAGCCAGGAGCATCTACAGCTTGTTTCAGTGAATGAAATGAGGGTGTGTATAGGGCCAGTAAAATTACAGTTTTTTTTTTAACTTTGAATCATGCAAAGCTGCCATACAGGATCATCGATACCACTGGTTCGTTAGTGTTCCTGGTTGCTGTGACGACAGTAGTTACAGTCGTTAAGACTACCTGTGGCCGAGACTGAACAACCATCGTTGGTATCTTCACCTGAGGCCAATAGGTTACGTTTGTTGAGTTTCCTGGGAAGTGATGAAAGGACAGCATTGTAAGTGGGGGATAAGTGGTGGCGTAGACCCCCTCCCCTGTTCAATGACGGCTTCTCAACCCTGGTGTAGATGCTTCCTTGACACCTCTTTCAAACCATCCATCTTCTCTGTCTAAAATGTGCACCTGGTGGTCCTCAAACGAGTGTCCTCTGTCCTTCAGATGTAAGTAGACAGCAGAGTCTTGACCTGAGGAGTTGGCCCTTCTGTGTTGAGCCATGCGTTTGTGTAGTGGTTGTTTAGTCTCCCCAATATACAGGTCTGTGCATTCCTCACTGCATTGGACCGCATACACTAGATTGCTTTTCTTGTGTTTGGGTGTGCGGTCTTTGGGGTGTACCAGCATCTGTCTTAGTGTGTTCTTGGGTTTAAAAAACACAGGGATGTTATGTTTGTTGAAAATCCTCCTGAGTTTCTCTGATACTCCAGACACGTATGGAATCACAATGTTGTTGCGTTTGACCTTCTTTTCCTCCCCTGTAGTTTTGTTCTTCTTGGATCTTGTGGCTGTTTTCACAAAGGTCCATTTAGGGTATCCACAGGCTGTAAGTGCCCCCTTCAGGTGGTTCTGTTCCTTCTCTCTGGCTTGGGCGCTTGTTGGTATGTTCTCCGCTCTGTGGTGCAGTGTTCTCATGACCCCTAGCTTGTGCTCCAGTGGGTGGTGGGAATCGAACAGTAGGTATTGGTCTGTGTGTGTGGGTTTTCTGTAAACACCAATCTGCAGGCTCCTGTCCTCTTCAATGTGTACAGCGCAGTCCAGGAAGGCCAAACTGTTGTTGTGAACATCTTCTCGTGTGAACCTGATGTTACTGTCCACAGAGTTGATGTGTTCTGTGAAGGCTTGCACTTCCTGGCTTTTGATTTTGACCCAGGTGTCGTCCACATATCTGTACCAGTGGCTCGGTGCTATTCCTCTGAAGGAGTTGAGGGCTTTATTCTCCACTTCTTCCATGTAGATGTTTGCCACAATCGGGGATACCAGTGAGCCCATGGCACAGCCATGCCTCTGTCTGTAGAATCCTCTGTTGTACTGGAAGTAGGTGGTGTTTAGACAGAGGTCGAGTAATTTACAGATTTGGTCAGGGCTGAGTCTGGTTCTGTTGTCCAGGGTGTTGTCTTGTGTTAGCCGTTTCCTAACAGTTTCTACTGCCTCTATGGTGGGGATGCAGGTGAACAAAGAAGTCACGTCATAGGATACCATGGTTTCATCTGGATCCAGTTTTAGTCCTCGAACTTTGTTTACAAAGTCAATAGAGTTTTGGACGTGGTGAGGCGTGTTTCCCACCAAAGGAGCTAAGATGGTAGAAATGTGTTTGGCAATGTTGTAGGTGACCGAGTTAATGCTGCTGATAATCGGCCTGAGTGGGGCTCCTTCTTTGTGTATCTTGGGTAGTCCATAAATGCATGGAATGGCTTCTCCAGGATACAAATGGTAATATAATTTTCTTGTATCTGCTGGTAGGGTCTCTTCTCAATGTCTCATATAACAGAACTGATATCAGCTCACTGAATTTGGATAAAACAGGTTTTAATTTTGAAAAGAAAAAAATTTAATGTTAAGAAATCTAAACTTATATATTTATAGTACAAGATTTCACTAATTAGCAATATTTTGGTGCAACCTCCTCATTTTGTAATTGTTTTGTATAATATGTGTTTTGCCTTTCATTACTAATCCTATTTATTTAGCCTTATAGTGATTTAGAGCTTTCAAATCATTGTGTCTACACCAAAGGTTCATATATTTTATATTAAATGTTGAATATTAACTTTTGTTCATTTTTTAAAATTATTTCACATGTAGCACTCTAAGAACTTTTACAACATTAACATTTAGTACACAAAATAATAATTTGGGACATAAAAAACACATTTAATTTTAAAGTGGCAATGATTTTTAAAATTCTTTAAATACCTGTTTCTTACATAAAAGGAAAGTCAGAATGTAATTAATGAATTGAAATTTAGCAAATGCTCAATTTGTGGAAATGTTATAAATGATAATGAAATTGTGAAACTAAATTAATTCATGTTGCACAGGTGACACATATAGTAAGAAAATACTGTGAGACGGCCCCAGGTGTGTGAAGTTCTACATTAGTGTTAGGCGTGTTGGCAGCCCCCCAAAGCCCCCTGCCCTTATCATGATCAACACAGGGGTTTGTGCCTTAACTTAAGTCAGTGACTTTAGTGACTACAGCTGTTCATATCAGCCTAGCAGGTAGGGTTATCCTCCTTTGTGATGCTGTGGCGTAGGGTTAGGGTACCTTTAGCGTCAAAAAACTATGCTTTGTCTCGCTGTCTGAAAGCGTAGGAAATGATGCCCTGAGATGAGAATGCGTTGAAATAAAGAGGTCATATTATGGTTGTGACTTTACCAATAATATGTTGAAAAAATGTAAAAAAAATAGCTCATTACAGTAGCTTGTTTGACTAATGCATTTAGTAAATGTGGAGGGTGGGAAGAGGGTCAGGGTAGTTGCCTGATTTTATTGCTGTTAAATAAATATCTGACAGTGTGGACAAAACTGCCAAAAAATCAAATTAAAATGAAATCTCTTGTCTGAGGACAATGTATTTTGTGGTACTAAGCTATCATAAAATCATTTAATTTATAATTTTTAAAACAACTATAAAAAAACTAAATTTGTGCTGAAGACCCTCAGACCCTGGTTGTTTAAATAAGATAATGTTATTCATTCAGACAGTGGGACATTTGTTTGCCCAAATCTCAAGAACCAGTGAGCTGTAGTACCTGCAGTAATGTAATTTGTATACATTTTATTTTCCAGAGAGTGATCCAGCTGCAGTCTACTCAGCAGTGAGAGGAACAGATGACGTCATTTATGGACAAATAGCCATCAAACCACAAAGGACGAAAGGTACAGCTGCTCTTTATTTATGAAGTTTGGTCAGAGCCAGGCTCTCAGGCACTTTGTATTGCTTTCAATATGTTTTCAACCTGTAGATCATTTTATTTAATTTTTAAACTCTTGGACTCTAATAGCTCCTCTGTTCATTCAGAATCTATACCACGTGTCTGTGCCAGCAAAACTTTTTACCAGCTGAGACGTTTCTGAAGTTTTACTGGTGCGACCTGATTCAGTGAATCTCTAGTTTGAAACTCTTGTTGGTTCCTGAGAACTGAGTGAAGCAGAGTTGTTGTCTGGTGACGGAGTTTCTTTGTCTCCAACAGTTTCTCGTGTTGTTTGAACTGTTTGTGTTTGTGTGTTCAGAGTTTCCAGCAGAGCCAGAGGTCGTCTACTCTTCACTGAGGTAGACCTTCACACCTTCACACCAGTCCAACCACTGATGTCCAGCTGGCCTGGAACTGGTCCCCAGAGCCCCTCACACCTCAGCACATCCATTTATTAGATTTGTTATTTTTATATGATTTAGATAAATTAGACAAAGCAACACTTCCTCATACAGAAATATAAACAAAGTGCCCCAGAACGACACACTGTATAAGTTGGACAGTACAATGACATACAGGCGTACTGGGCCTTCAGTAAGTAAGTCATCCACAAAACTTATTTAATTAATATTAATTTAATTAAAACATGTAAATTTTGACTTTCTTTCACTGGGACTCAATCGTTGGGCTCCTGAGTGAAGGTCTTCAGTTTACTTCACTCATCCATCCACAGACTTTGTTTCTGGTAGCTTCACGTTGTTTTGTGGGTAATAACTAAGTTTACTGTTATTTTATGATTTATTTATGTTTATTGTTTCTTGTTGGCACAGTAACGTGTTTCTTTGTTGGATCAATAAACTTTGTCTCGTTCTTGTTTTTCCTCTGTGGTTCTGTTGGTTTCACAAAGCTGTTGGATGGAAAATTTGACTTGAAGGTTTTGCTGTGGCTAACCGATACACACATGCGAAACTCACCTCTTCAGTGCAGATCACTAAAAATAAACAAGACCACAACCACACAGACTGAACAGAATGTATTTCAGCTTAAGTACAGTGTGTCCTTAACTAGATTGATTGATTGTTTATTGGTCAAAACAGGTTTTATATGCAGATTCACCAATTATGAAAAATCCATCCATCCGTCGTCAACCGCTTATCCTGCATACAGGGTCACGGGGGGAGTCACCGAGGCCTTAAAGCTCAAATGTAAAAAAAACCTATTAAACCAAAAAACAAAAGTAAAAACATCAAAGCAACAATTACAAACAGGCCACAATGACCTGTTGATTTTCTTTTTACTTTATTGAGACACATTTGAAAACAATCATTATATTTAAAAACAGTCATTATTTTTAAAAAAACATCCAGAAAGTTTAGCTTAGCTTTCGACCGTTCGAGACCGGTCAGAACTGGGATATTTCCCAGTTGAAACTTCCGACTTCCCACCTCAAAGCATTCCAGGTGCACGGTGGTGCACGACGCCGAAAGTGAACTGGCTGACCGTGACAAAGTGTGCACACAGTTGCACCCTCAGCAGTGCTTTAGGTGTTACTTCAAAGGATGGCAGTTTAACTGCAACCAACTGACATAAATAGCCTCTACCTTACTAGTTATGTGTACCCCTCTAGCTACATCAGCTGGTAACCCTCAAGTGTTGTAGGTTACACTCCCTAATGTTTTGGCATTTTTAACAATAACTTTTATGCAGAGAAGATTACTTTGAGATTCTTTCCTGTAGCCAGCTACCTAATAGGCCTAACATATTTCTACATCAATGCACATGCAGAACAGGTTTTACTATATGATTGTATGTATTTTAATTTTAATACATGCAAATATACGTTTTGTTGCCTTTTAGTTTATGGTTTACCATTTACAGTGTGTGTTTCCATGGGCGCTGACATTGTTTTGTGACGTCATTCAGCTGCTACTCGTTAAGTCGGGGTACATATTTTTCCTCCAAGTTCACAAGTAGGACTTAGTGTTGTGTTGTTCAATGAACGTTTTGTTCATAAGACGTAATCGTGTATATGACTCGGGAGGAACGGCTTGTCTCAGTGAGTGATTCATTCATTTACTTGCATGCGTGAAGGATCTTGGACTCTTACGTTCACTCGTCACAGGAAACAGAACTGATTAGTTCACGACTCTCAACTGTGAGTCTGTCTGAGTCGTTCATTTCTCACGTGACAGCTCCTACTGTGGAGCAGGAATGAGCGACTCGTTGCTGTATGAATGAGCACTTCAGAGATAATGATAGTAATTATAACATAAGCCTTTATGTGGCTGGTCTGGTTGTCTACTACTCGGGAAAGATTGTGAAAATGGAAGGATTTAGCCGGAGTAGTGGTGATTACATATTGACAACATATTTCTGTGGTTTTTACATGGTTTGAATTTGGTTGTGGGCCCAGGGGGGTTTATATAATGATGATATACAGTAATCAAGAGGTGAATTTGTGCATTATACTTTGTCAAATAAAGCAAGCCAGGCAGCCTTCTTTGCTTTTTAATCGCCCACTAGAGGGCTGCAGCCTAGTTCAAATGAATGAAATGACTCAAAAAAGAATTAGTTCATTTTAATGAATGAGATTTTAATGAATGAGTCTGTCAAAAGAGTCGAACTTTCCATCACTGATAGGGTTACGATATTAAAGCCCTATAACATGTCTTATATTTTCACTGAATGCCCCCTGAATTCAGTTTGATGGTAAATAAAACACAAAGGTTACGATATGGTAACCCTAGTTCTATAAACACAGGCGGAGTCCTCAACTTGACTTTATGGGTATTACCTCCTCCAATCTCAACCACACATCACCCTCTGAAATTTGAATTGTGCACGTAGATGACCATTAGATCGTGGCTACTGTATTATAGCAGTGTCCCTGCTGCAGACTAACCCTTCAGCAGAGTGGCATGGAGCGGCAGGGCCCATCAGTAGAGGGCCACGCTGTGACCTTCATGCTTTCTCACACAGGCTCCGCCCCCACTGGACTCTATGGGTACAACGGGTGGAGCCCAATGACTGTCCACCCCAGCAACAACAAGCCAAGCCAAGCTGATCAGTGCGTCCGATGGGGGCTGCGCGAGTTAAATGAGCCAGTTTTCTTTTTACATCGATTTGAATGTTGGTGAATTCAGTGAAAAATATTAGACATTTTCAATGGCTATAACTTTCAAACCAAACATCAGATTGGTCTGATATTGACAGGGGTTCACCCTGAGGTGGTCTGATCACTGTGAAGTGAAATAAGTCAGTGGAAACAGGAGGTTTTCTTTTAACATCAGTTTGAATCTTGGCTGAATTTAACAAACTTTCTGTGAAAATGTAATACTTTCTTTAGATACTTGTGTTGTCTTAAGCATTTGTTTATTTATTTATTTATTCATTCAATCGTTTCTGCAACACCAATTGCATTATGTTCAGCAGAAGCTAACGTTACCGTAATGCCTAGAAAAAACACGCAACGCAAAATGAAGAGCAGTGCGCTCGTCTCATCCAGTACAGTCCCAGACGGGCTCTGTGTCTGTCAGACGGTCTAAAGGGGGTAGAAGCCTACGACCGTATCAGCTGAGCAATAACGCAGGGTAATGCACAGCAGAGGGGCAGGTAGATTTTGTTAAAATATATGACTTCATTCTCATTACATCTCGTAATATTATATCTGAAATTGTCATCCTGCAAATGTCAGAGAACACAAATATGTGGGAGAGATTTTTAATGTGCAGAAAGTTTTGAACATGAGCAGAAAACCTGCTGAAACACAGGAGCTATTAAGGTGCACGGGTTTATAACTGAATTAAAATGAATTAATTTATCATTGAGGTGAAAAGGTGTAACGTGCACATTTAAATACTTTAGGTTACTTCAGTCATGCCTGCATGTGTGTTGACTCAGCAGGGATGAAATAAAATTAAAAAAAAACAGGAGAAACTATTTGACAGCAATACAGAATGCCTGAGAGCCTCACAGCACTACATTACACTATATTTGTATTTATTGAATTGTCACCTGAGTTTCCTTTCATATAAATAAAGACATTTCCTCAATGAATTGGTGCAGAAAAATTCACCAGAATGCAGGAAATTAAGCGTTGAATGTTAAAACCCTGCTAACAACTATTTCTTCAATACATTTTTTTCCCCCCAAATACTAAGCCTATTAACATATATTGTTGTGTTGTTGTCATGGCCCCACTATTGCTTAAAAGCAAGGATGGTGTATCGGTGAGGGATGTCCGACCGATTTTGGTGGACCGCCTGGGCCAAAAATGCCAGGGCCGATTTTTTGTCCCATTCCAGCCCTGAACATGTTAATCAGTCTCTCTTCAATGAGGAGTAAAGACGATATCAGATCAATCCGAACCAGCTAAGTTGTCTCTGCTTTGGTTTTATTTCTCAATAAAAAATGTTCAGAAGTAATCCTTTTTCAGATTACACTGAATGCTGAAAACACAACCTGAATCCCACCGTGAGGATGTTTAGCTTTATCAAGCCTACAGGCTAAACCTTTTATTTAATACACAATCACCACATCAATACAAAATGAACTTTTCTTTAAATGTTTGAGCACATGGTGGAGCAAAATATTCTATTTGTTTTTATAATCTTGTAAAAACCTCGTCCTTCAAACTACAGGTTTGTCTGTGTAGCCTATGTGATGTTGTGCTGCCACCCTGTGGACAACGTTTGATAGGACTTTAAGTGATTTTCTGTTATTCTTTAGAAACCATGTGCATTCTGGTGAATTTTTCAGCTCCAATTCATGGTGGAAATGTCTTTATTGATATAAAAGGGAAACACAATGAATTATTTAATGAGGTAAATCAATTCAGTTATAAACTCCAGCAGTTTTCTGCTCATAGTCAAAACTTTCTGCACATTCAGAATCTCTCTCACATATCTGTTCTCTTAACAAACTTCATGAGGACTGAGTTAGTGCGAAAAGGTCCATTCAAACCAACACCGGACTTTTCTAGAAGAGGTTTCCATTCAAGATAATTACAGTGACAGACTGTTCTGAACTTCCCCCACTCGTGGTGACATAGGTATGTGTGCTCATGCTCCAGTCAAAGCCCTGTCTGACATAGCAGTGCCAGTAATAAGGGGCTAACTAAACTAAAACAGGAAGTAAATCTAACAGAAACACAAGAAATTATCAAATCAATAAAGTATATCAATATCAGCAAAACAAGACTACTGAAACTCACAAAGAAACAAAATGACAAAAGTAAAACACACTACAGATGATGATAACCAGATAACCAGATAATTCATCAGAAAGTGAACACACACATACCCAGCAGAGTTAGTTTAACTGTCAGTGAACGCATCATATTCATGTTCATAATTGGCATTCACTGTCAAGTTGTTGCTTTACTTTTCATCTCAGCATCTCCATTTAGTCTGTTTTTACATCATGTTCTGGCTCAGAGCCTCGTTCAGCTTGATGCAACTTAACAACTAAACCTGATAATAGTCTGTGGAGCGGAAACCACAACAGCTTCAGAGGAAGGTGGGGAGGTTTTACTTATATGTGAACATGAACTGATCAGAGCGTAGATCTAATCTAACAAAGTGTCAGGATGAAAGAAACACTGTGGCTGCTCTGTAAGTACACTCTAAAACCATCAGCAGAGAAAATCAAGATACCGAGAACAATGAGTTTGTTTTTACAGCATTGGTTGGCTCAGACATGCTCCTGTAAAGCTGACGTTTTTTGAGAATATTACTTTAAGAGGATGTAATTCACGAGACTGCTGTTGGTTTTCTTTATAGTGGATCAGTTTTAATGTTTCAATACAACTTTATGTATTCATTCAGAAACCATTCATTAACCACAAAAAGATCACTGTGTGTGCTGGTCTCTGGTGTTTCAAATGTCTTGAAGTGTGAAAAAGTCAAACCAACCTGAGTGTGATTTCTCTTTAGTTCTGACCTCACAGCTGAGCTGCACAACAAACCAAGGTGTGTAAACCTCTTTTATTGTTGCTCTAACTGACTCTGATAGAACTGAGGACACAGCTGGTTGATCAGACACCCAATAGTACCAGGAACCATCAGTACTTTTACTTTTATCACCGTCACTAAAACCTGCTAATGTACTGTCATGGGTGTGTGCGGGTTTAGTTTGAATAGTTGGTTCTGAATTCAGTGTAATTAACAACAAATGATTTAATGACAGCAGCCCTAAGAAGTGATGTATAGTACTGTATAAAACAAGACTTCGTATGTGTAGGATCAGTACTTAAGGCATCACTCGCTCAGCTCTATTCTCTGCAGGACAAATGCCACATCAAAGTTTGTCTGTGGGAGAGCTCATTTAGCTCTTTCAGATTCTCAAAACAGCCAGTTCAGTTCAATCCAGTAAAACAGGTCAAAGGTGGGAACTCAAAATACCAGGAATATTTAAATTTAAAGCTTTAGTCTACACCAGGGTTCTTCACTGTTCTGGCAGTCCGACCCCTTTTTGAGGTTGAAAATATTTCGCGACCTGGTTGAACTCGGTCTGGGAAATTCAGTTTTAACTGAGATCCAAAAGTCAGCCAGAGGTGTGTTGGTGAACCTCTGCTTCAGGGCCATATCAGTGGTCAGATCAATCAATAACTCCTCTATTTTCTTGCCTCTGTGTTTCCAGCTGCTTGTAATGCATGCGTTCTGTGTTCTCTGTCTGTTACACTCGTACTGGTTTGTTGTTCAATGCTTTCCTTCCTATGTTATTTTGTAGCGTTAGGTTTCATCTTTCTCTAGCTTATTTCCTGTTTGTTGTGTATTTCACCTGTTCACTCCCTCCCTGCTCGTCTGCCGCTGTATTTAACCTGCTCAGCTTTGTTCAGTCCTCGTTGCATCCTTGTTGTTATGTTGTGTGTTTCCCTGGTTCTCTGCCTGCATTATTGTTTGTTTTATGGAACTTTTGGATTTGCTTTAGTCTCTGCCACTCCTTGTAAGTGTGCATTGCCTTTTGTCTAATAAATCACAAGAACTTTACCTGCCAGTTATTTGGGTCCTACCAACCTCTTTCTGCCTGAGCACACGGCACAGTGTGACAACAGTAATCTCTCAAACTGGTATCACTGCTGGCTGCCTGACAATGCTTTTCACACACGTAATTTAAACCCTTTCTTTAGTAAGAAAAAAGTCTTGCATAACGTGCATATGTGGCGTCAATACATTGCTTGTTAACATCCTAACTTTGATTGGATGTTGGATGCAACCCATAGCCACCCATAATTAAATGCGTTTTTACCATTAACAACTGTCACCCCTCCCCGCGATGGTAATGCTTACGTTGATTTCAGCAATGAGAATGTGGATCTTTCAGATCAATTTGAGAAGTACCTATGATTTCCTTCCACATTTTATTGTGTGTCATGTAATGTGGGGAACTGGTTTTGGTCTCGCCCTCCCTTGGTCTTGGTCTCAGCCCCTAAAAGTCTTGACTTGGTCTCGGTTTGGGCGGTCTTGACTACAACACTACTATCTTATCTTCATCGTATCTTATCTCAGGTTAGGAAACCCTAAATACTTAATCCAACATCGGTTATCAACTTTTATGTCTGTTACCTAGCAACCGATGCCACTTTTCTCATGTCGCTAGCTAATCAGCTTTTAAATGGAAGCAGAAACTGAAAAATGGAGCAGAAACAACAACTATTATTAAAGTTCAGATGACTTAGAGGTGCGGGTAACCTCCGTTGAGAAATCCAAATTCCCATAATGCTTAACTCGGGAGATTAAAGATAGAGAGTTGGCTAAAAAAGTGGACACAGTCACCGCCGCATGTCCAGCATCCAGCGGACTGTTGATGCTGTCAAAAACAAAACAAGTCCATTTACAAGTGATGCGAAGAGAAAGGCAACTGTTGCATCCAAAGAGCAGAGAAAACCAGTGGTGGCTCCTCCTGTGCTCCCTCACAAAGTTAAACATGAAGGTAAAAAATAATAATATTAATAAAGGCTGCAGGCTTACGTCATCATGTATTTTTTGTCTTTCACTATCTCCTCCTATCAAAAACTCGAGTTAGGATACTTTTGTCACATCAAGCCTTTACATTATGTTACATAATGAGACATTATCTAGAGTTGCATCGCCTACAGCTTTTCTACTAACGAGTGTTTTGTCATCAAACACATCGGTACTATCAATTAATAAGTTTCGCCTGTTGACATTTTTTTTGATTTTGTAAAAGCAACAAAAGAGCAACCATGTGGATTAAACAAGTTACAAACACTACCTGGTGGAAAAGTACAAGTTAGGACGGCATAAAAGTGAGGAGCTTTAAGATTTTATGAAGTTAGGATGCTTCTGTAAAACTCTTTTCCTATCTTAAGTTAGGAAAAGAACAATGACTTAGAAACTTTAAATCTTTAATGGCCTTATTCCTGAATCAGTTCCTAAACCTTATTAACATGGTTACCAAGCAGTTAGGATATCTGCAGGTTAGGTAGTTTCTGTAATACAGCCCTAAGTCTGCAAGTGGCGTAGCAGTTATAAATGACTAATAACAGCAGGGTATTTGGCTTTCCATAGCCAGTACTTTGCCAAAACCAACGCATTGTGGTGCATCTTCTTAATCACTTGTCTGTGTAAATTCATGCTCAAGGTACTCTTCGTCCGATTTTCTAATTTTCTTTGTCTTTCTTTTTTGTTTAGAGTTTTCTTTCATGACACTCAAGGTCGCCTTACATCATAAAATACGACAAGCAGCAATAGTACATAACATCTTTAAAAAAACACCAACAATCAAATGGGAATCAGTGTTGTACGTTATTACAGAGAGTATGCTAGTTTGAAAAGTCAGAAAATTTAATTAAAAGTAGTTGTCATCCACGTCTGTATGTCATGTAGACAGGCAGTGAGTGTGGAGCTGGGGTTTGTGGACACATTAAGCTGTGTATCGTCAACATAACAGTGAAAATGGATGTTGTAGTGCCAGAAGATGTTGCCTAGAGGGATGAAGTAGATGATAAATAATAGTGGGCCTAACACTAAACCCAGCGGTAGTCCGTAATGGAGGTTTCTGACCTGTCCTTTTTGAGAGGTAGGAGGCAAACCACTGATAAACAGTGCCCCAAATTTCAATATTTGCCAGACTGTTGATGACGAGGGAATGTGATACCGAGTCAAAGGCTGCTGTGAGGTCCAGGACGATGAGAATGTAGAGTAAACCAGAATCTGCTGCACGGAGGAGGTCATTGGTGATCTTAATCAGGGCAGTTTCTATGCTATGAATTTTTCAAGGAGATTTATTGAGGTAGGTCTGCATTTGAGATGCAATAACCCTCTCCAGAATTTTCTATATGAATTGTAGGTTGGAAATTGGGCCGCAGTTGTTGGTGTTGGTCTGATTATGGCAACTTCTAGAGAGGGTGGAACTGTACCAGTGGACAGAGTGAAGCGTGCTTTTTGATCCAGATGACATGTAGAGTTGTTGGACTTATAATAATAATTTCAGAAATGTGACTTTCAGTTTGAAGGCGATACATAATGTATATTGCATAATGGGACAACACCAATTTCATCAGTGTTCGGGTTTCTCTTGAAGGCGTTAGTGATGTCTGACAACTGACAACTCTCTGGACCAATATGTCTAACTAGCTGGCCTAATGTTACCCTTTCTTTGTATTCTTCTTTGGTGTTTTACCACCACCTATTGGATTAAACAGTGCACCATATTTACAGTGCCCACCCAAAGTGATTCCATTCACAACACAGTCCATCTGGTTATTTTTAAGTTGTATTGATTTTATTTCTTGTGTGTTGTGTCTATAGTAGCATTCTACCTACCTTCCCTAGGTTAAGAACCACTGGACTACAACAACATTTAATCAAGAAACGAGTTTGGAACTTAAGAAGAAGAAGACACTTTATTGTCACATACACAGACATGTTGCGAAATTCATTCTCTGCAATTAACGTAGTGTGCATTGCCCTTCTACAACACTTTTATATTACCAGTATTTATTTATGCCGCAGGAGACTGTACTGTATAAGGCATAGTCTGTTTAGTCTTATTTAATGTACAGTAACTTTGTTTTTATTTACTGTAAGAACGGTACTTTCTTGTCTGACACTTGTTTATGCTACTTTGTACACTTATCTCTCTCTGCTCTTGTCTTTGTTGTTGCAAACCGCAATTTCCCCATTGTGGGACAAATAAAGGTTTTCTTATGTTATCTTCTTATCTTAACCCATCCCTCAAGGGAGCAGTGGGCAGTGTTTATCAGTGTGTAGTCAATGTCACTGACTGGAGAACCTAACATGTTTTTGATGGTGGGGGAAACCGAAGCACCCGGAGGAAACCCACGCAGACACGGGGAGAACATGCAAAACTACACATCAACATTAACTTGACTTTAAACCCCTCTTCCTCCAGCCTCTCTGACTGTGAGTCCCAGCTGCTCTCAGCATTTTGAAGGAGAGTTTGTCTCTCTGAGCTGTGAGGAAGACGACAGCTCTGCTGGATGGACGCTGAGGAGGAACACAACCAGAGAAACCAGGACTCAGTGTGGAGCTGACTGGGGAAGATCAGCTGGTTCTTCATGTAACATCAGCTACATCGACCCATTGGACAGTGGAGTTTACTGGTGTGAGTCCAGAGACGGAGCAACCAGTAACACCATCAACATCACTGTCACTGGTAAGATCAGACTGTGGAGTTAGTGTTGATGAAGCTGTGTGTAAATGATGAAATGCTGTAGTTTGTCTCTGTGTTGAGGTGGACCAGTGATCCTGCAGAGTCCTGTCCTCCCTGTGATGGAGGGACATGATGTCACTCTGCACTGTGAAACAAAGACCCCTCCCTCCAACCTCCCAGCTGGTTTCTATAAAGATGGCTCCCTCATCAGGACTGAGCCTACAGGTCACATGACCATCCACCATGTTAACAAGTCTGATGAAGGCCTCTACAAGTGTAACATCAGTGGTCGTGGAGAGTCTCCATCCAGCTGGATCTCTGTCACAGGTGAGGAGGTTACCTTTGATTTCAGGACTTATTTCATCCAGAGATTCACCTGAGCAGGTGGATTCTCTCTACAGATATACCTACAACCACAGCACCGCCTCCTGCCTCAGTCCCCCTCCAGCTTGTGTTCAGACTGATCCGCCACCTGGTGGTGTTCTGTCCGTACTGCATCTCCACTGTCCTCATGGTGTCTTTATATCGACGCAGGGCCACAGGTAACACTCTGAATCATTCACTGACATTACAATTAATCAATCAATCAGTCTGACTCTGGTGTTGAAGACTGACAGTTGTCTCTAATAGATAAATGATCTACATTTTCTTTCTAACCTGCTCTGACTGCAGGAAATGACCTGCCCATCTCCATGGTGATGACCCCGCCCACCCAGGTTGAGGAGAAAGTGAATGATAACAGTTATGATGTCATCACTGTCACCACAGAGCATCACTTCTGAGCACCTAACAGTGTTGGAGCACTAGGCGAGATTTTATATTGGCTGTTTTTGAGTGGGGACCGTAATGGCAGAAAATGCTTCTCCTTTTATCATGTTCTATTATTACTATTATTATTATTACTATTATTGTTTATGTCATATATATATTGTTTTTACTCATTATTAACCTTTTTTACTCTTATTTATATGTATATTGCTTTCATTCTTAACCTGTTATTCCACTCATTATATTAGTCTGTCCATTGATGTAGGGTTTAGGTCAGAGTTGAGAGATTGTTTTAGTGTTTTCCTTTCTTGCCATTCCTCTCCTCTCCTTGAATATTCATTCATGGCTGGAAAGGATCTCTGTTCCCCAGAAACATAGAAACCTAGACCGTGTATATGATTATGCATCCATTTGCTCTGGGCAGACGCTCAAAACTACCCTAGGCGGCAGATCTCTGGACCAGCTCATTTTCTGTTGTAGAATTTCTCTGTTCTCTTTTATTAAAAAATTCTTCAAAGACAACGGGTTGTTGTAACTAAATTATTTGCTCAATCCCTCACTAGCAATATACAATTTCCACAAAATGTTTCATTCATTGTCTGTATTCTCAAACTTTCACCTCAGTTATTACATTTTTATATTGCAAAACATCAAAATCTGGCTGCGACTTACAGCCAGTCTTGGAGTAAGGTTGGTGTCTGACAGATGGAAATAATGTGTTTTACCAGTAAGCCATAGCAAGCAGTTGAGTAAGCAGCAGTTATGGTTAAAGTTGCTATTGTTAGTTGCAGCAGTGACAGTACAGTACTTTTGTGTTTTGTTATTTTTCATGTGCACAATGTCATTCTGTTGTAGTTACTAGAGGGCTCCAGCAGAGGGAAGGTAAAACTGTTGCTATGTTACGGTGCACCTCACTTCCTCCCATCAGTCATTACACAAATGATCTAAGGAAAGTTTGTGTCCATTCATTCAACTATTCCCCTTTTCAGGTATGAGTCTCTTATAATATGTGTTATTGTTTAACAGAGTGTTATGTGAATTTGTATGTGTGTCAAGGAGAGTGTTTTAGCACAGTTGTTCGAAGACTGTGAAGTTAGGACGTTAATTACACGATGACGAGTAAGCTAGCCACATTAGCCTTTAGCAATGCTAACTGTGACGTAGTAGCTGAAAGAGCAGCTCTTAGTAGCTGTGCAGAGACATCGTACCAGTTGTAGTTTTGTTCTGTATACATTTCTGAAATGTACTGAGTACTGTTAAAGGGTGTAATTGTGAGTGTTATATGTTATCAGCATAATTGTGTTTTGTATTTGCTGTACTCTGTAGTTAAAAGTGGGAAATGCTACTGCAGATATAATTGCAAACTAGAGATAATGGTTAGAATTGTATGTATTATGCATGTTATATTGTGTATTGTATATGTTGTATATGTAAACTGTACTGGCATTTGCAATAATTTCTTGAAAACATCATTACACACATGATCTGAGGAAAGTTTGTTTCCGTGCATCTTTCATTCAACTACTCAGGGCTTTTACAGGTGCAGTTGGTTATTATCACAGTGTACATTGGTGTTGCATCAGCTGGGCAGAGTTGATTTGTGCCGAGACCAAAACTTTCTCTTGCGGCTTCCGCCTGACATTTTGCTCCCTAGGCAACAGCCCATGTAACTTATGCTACGGGCCGGCCCTTAACTGATCCAGTGTTTTCTGGTTCTCAAATGACGGTAAAGTTTTTGAGTCATCAGCAAATAAACCTCAGATTTCCTTCATACAAACAAACAGCAGAGGACCCAGAACACTTCCCTGTGGAACTCCTCATGTTCTAGTTTGACTTGTAGATGATGTTGAACTCAGGATCTCAGATTTCGGCAGCAGGGACAGTCTCACTTTAAACTCTTCTAATCTTATACTGTAAGCAGCTGTGTGAGAGCAGTTATCAGGATTAACTCTGACAGGTTTAGTAATAGACAAAACAAATCAGTATCAAATGATTGCTCACAAAAAGACTGATTCAGGTGAACTTACACTACAGGGTTTCTCCCAATGTGTTGAACTAAGTAAAGTTCTGATCTGTTATGTCTCCTTCTCGTTGCAGCAGAGCAGCCAGAGGACATGAGAGGGAAAACCAGAAAATATTAAACTTTCTCTCATAACCATAAAAACACTTTCTGTCACATATACGGAACAACCCCCAGCTGTAGCTCAGTATATTCAGTGTATGTGCACAGTAGCGCAAGGTAGTAACAACGGGCCCCAGTACAGGCTGCTGTGTGCCTTGTGTGCCTTGTTTCCTCGTTGTGCATGGTTTAACAACTGATAACATTAGATGCAGTAACTACCTAACCCCCTTAAATCGATCTCTTTTGTTTTTGTTAGAACTGTTAATATTAACATATTAACAGTTCTCTTTGTGTGCATCTCTCTCCAACTTACACGCTGCTGCTGAGGGTCTGGACGCAGCAGGCTAAAGTACCATCATGTGATGGATTTCAGATTTGGACTGTGTGTGTGTGTGTGTGTGTGTGTGTGTATTAATAGACAAAAAATAAGGATTAAATTACTAAAATAACAGACAATGAAAATAATAATAATTTAAATTTATAATAAATAAATAATAATAACCTTTAAATTTAGCTGACGCTTTTATCCAAAGCGACTTACAAACGAGGTCACACGCCTCTGGAGCAACCCAGGTCTCTCACACCAAAGCATGTGTCTAATCCATTGCGCCATCGCCACCCTAATTGAAAACCTTTGAGAACAATTATTATATTTGAGTCTATTGAGTTTCCACTGGTTGTCCTCAGTTTGTGGCATGAGGAGACATTTTGCTGCAATTATATGACATTTGGGCATTTCTCCCAGTAAATATGGGAGTTTTTGTGTGTCTGATATAAATTAGAATTCAGGGTATATTTGGGAATTGTTTGTATGTGGTTTTTTTTCCAATGTTTTATATATATCCTCTTGTGGTAGCCAGCTCTGTCTGTGGCGACCCTTTTCTATGGCCAGGCTTTGTTCACTCAGTCTGCATGTTGTCAACATTTTTCTTAGTTTAGGACATTTTATTGCACTCAGGTAATTTGCAAGTCTGAATTCTCTTTTTAGTGTATATATATTTATATATATATTTTATATTATATATATTATATTTTTATTTTTGCTTGTTGATAATGTGGTTGGTCTGTCACTGTCAAAATCTTTAAACGTCACTTTAAACAGCTGAGTGCAGGAGGTGTCCCCTGTGGTGCTGAAATGATGCAGACTTTTACAGGCAATTTCAGTACAATAACCTCCCGAATCACAACAACCACATTCCTCTTCGACAAAGAGGCAAGACATTTACATGGTGAATAAGAAAGAAAAGTGGCCTACTTATAACACAACACCATGTCCTGAAAACAGGCCAGCTATGGTGTATGTACCCACAAGCACATCCACAGGATCCAACAGGTGCTCAGCAGTGACCTGTCCCCAAAATGATAACAGCCTTTTAAACAGCTGCACAGCAGCCACACCAAATCCACTGAAAAAGCACTTGTAAAGTTACTCACCTAGTTGAAAGGCATCCGACGAGCCTGCATTAAGCAAAATCTTTGACAATGTCCTCAGTAATCCTAAACAATCTTATTTGGGAGCTGTGTGACCCTCTCCTCCTGTTCTTTTCTCTCCTGTCTCTTCTTGAAACTACTTTTATTTTTGAATGACATGACTGCTAGCTTGCACGTGTGCTCTGCTTGTCTACTTGTCACCCGGTTTCTAGAGTCTTGTCACATGATCAAATAGAAACTTGGCAGCCAAATACATATTACCCAGCAATCATCACTGTATTTGTTGTCTATGTGACACAAATACCAAAGCAAATAAAACTAAATTCATTCTGTTGAATCTGTGAAATCTATTTTTTATATTTCACTGTATACCTTATAGCGTACTGCTTGCTACAGACTTTTGTGCGTAAAACCACTGACTGCAGTCAGACTTTACTGGACGCTGCATATTTGTTGTTGCTAAACGTTGCTAACTTGACCACATTGCCTTAAACGTCAAAAAATGAAGCAAAAGTGATACCGAGGTCGTTAACAAGTGTCGCCAAAGGGCCTTGACCAAGCGTCAATATGTGACGAGTCAGGAGTGAGAACGTGTTGACATTTCAGTGCTTCAAGCTGTCCATTCAAAATCAGCTCCTGTTCACTTCCTACAGACTGACCCGCTGTGACCTACCTGAAGATCCAGCTGGTTAGTTTAAGATCAACATCAATTCACTTCACAATGAATCTCTGACAGCTTCAAACAAATATCTTGAATCTATCTAATGAAAAAAGCAGCTTCATCCTTCACCTCAGGGAATCAGAACGGACACACACCCTGCAGGGTTTGTTTAACTGTCAGTGAACGCATCATATTCACTGTGACAGTTGTTGCTTTACTTTTCATCTCAGTGTCGTCATTTAGTTTTATGTCTCTCTTCACATCATGTTGTGGCTCAGAGCCTTGTTTTAAAACTGAATTTATCACCTTTGATGCAACAACTAAAGTGTGGAGCGGAAACCACAACCCTGCCAGCCACAGTCACAGAGGAAGGTGGGGAGGGTTTACTTATATGTGAACATGAACTGATCAGAGTGTAGATCTAATCTAACAAAGTGTCAGGATGAAAGAAACACTGTGGCTGCTCTGTAAGTACACTCTAAAACCATCAGCAGAGAAAATCAAGATACCGAGAACAATGAGTTTGTTTTTACAGCATTGGTTGGCTCAGACATGCTCCTGTAAAACTGACGTTTTTTGAGAATATTACTTTAAGAGGATGTAATTCACGAGACTGCTGTTGGTTTTCTTTATAGTGGATCAGTTTTAATGTTTCAATACAACTTTATGTATTCATTCAGAAACCATTCATTAACTACAAAAAGATCACTGTGTGTGCTGGTCTCTGGTGTTTCAAATGTCTTGAAGTGTGAAAAAGTCAAACCAACCTGAGTGTGATTTCTCTTTAGTTCTGACCTCACAGCTGAGCTGCACAACAAACCAAGGTGTGTAAACCTCTTTTATTGTTGCTCTGACTCTGATAGAACTGAGGACACAGCTGGTTGATCAGACACCCAATAGTACCAGGAACCATCAGTACTTTTACTTTTATCACCGTCACTAAAACCTGCTAATGTACTGTCATGGGTGTGTGCTGGTTTATAGTGTTAATAGTTGGTTCTGAATTCAGTGTAATTAACAACAAATGATTTAATGACAGCAGCACTAAGAAGTGATGTATAGTACTGACACTCAAAACAAGACTTCGTATGTGTAGGATCAGTACTTAAGGCATCACTCGCTCAGCTCTATTCTAGTTTGCCGTGGACAAACTCTAGTTTAACTTGAATGTTTTGGGAGACTTTCGGAAGAGACTGGGGGCAAAAGCCTCTCTTGAAGAGATTTTAAAAAGTAATCCAGGGTTCCTCAAAGCTCCTGGCATGGCCAGCCTAGTGTCTGAGTTGGACACTCTTAAGACAGCCATGCTGACTTCACTGGGTACCTCCAGTGCTTTTCAGCCTGTGTCAACACTGGCTAGCCACCTGCATGTTTCCTGGGCTGCTAGCGCTCCACCATGTAGAGATGAATAAGTTCTGTAGAACATGTGTTCTTAAACCTGATGCAGGTGACAAAGACTCAAACACACAGTGATGTTAAAGCTGGAAGATACTGTGAGTGTTCAGTGAGGATCAGGGTCTCCATCTTCTCTGAGGTGTACAGTTGTTGTGTCTGCAGTAAAACCTCAAACCAACATCATAATCATTATAATTAATTTTATATTATTGATTATAAAAGGCTAAACACTTTTGTTTGTAACCTCCTAAAGTTCTGTTTTTGCTCAGATCAACATGAAGTGACAGCAAAGCTTGGAGAGGACGCCACTCTTCCCTGTCGAGGTCATGGAAATGCTACCATCACAGTAACAAAGTGGAGCAGACCTGACCTGGAGTCAGATGGTCTATATGTTTTCTTCTTCAGAGACAGCTGCTCACATGAAAAATACCAGCATCCATCTTATCATGGTCGAGTGGAGCTGAGAGATCCAGACATGAAGGACGGAGACGCTTCTATAATTCTGAAGAACGTCAACATCAACGATACTGGAACATATGAGTGTTGGCTTAAAGAGAAAAACAATCCAGGCAAAGTTGAAGTCATCAGCACCATCAGTCTGACATCAGTGACAGAGCCAGGTGAGTGTGTACAGCTCAGAGTGTCTCTTGGTCTGGACACAAGGGCACAAATATTGGACTGAAAGTCGGTCTGCCAGTTATTGGTGTGATTCTTCTTCTTATTGGTAGTGTTGTTGGTTTTCTCTATAGAAAACCAACCTGCTTCTACTGGAAGTAAGCTCTGAACAGATCCTCCATGTCCTCCATGGTCTAGAAATAGGTTTAAAAGTCAACACAGATGATCTAGACTCCAGTTTATTCAGCTTGCCTTTGCTGCCTTTGCTT